TTTTTTAAACCCAACGAATCAAAATAGCAAATGATGACTTCCAGTAATATTATCATGCGTTTAATTCACTTGTATTTTAAATGTACATATTTATGGAAATCCATTCTCATAACAGTTTCAGATTTGGAGGCATTTTAAAATTTAGGTCAAATTAAGTGTGAAAAAGCGAACTCTGCAGGTTGACATTAAAATTGTTAATTTCCTGAAAGTAAAGTTTGAAGCAGAGTTTAGGGAAAGCCCCATTCAATCCAAATGAGTCAGAGAGACAGAACAGAACAGTGAAACAAGCCCAGCGCAGTTAATACACCTCAGAGCATTTAGATTTTTTGGCTTTTCACGCTGGGACGCTTAAAATAACCGCGTAACTCACTCGAGATGCCACTACATATGAAATAAATGTTAGCAGCTTGTTCTTCTGAAACAAAACAAATGAAATGATTCAGAACAGTGTCATAATTTTACACTGACATTTCAACATCATCTCGACATCTCCGGCTCAGGATTCATGAACCTCCCAGGGATTCCCAGCCACCAATTTAGGAGCCTCTGATTTAGACAGACTGTTCTGGAAATCATACAACAACAGCTGTTATTGATGTTAAAACTGAATTTTCCTGATTATTTTTTTCCCCCGTGGAGTAAAATTCACCCAGAACATGATTTATTTAATACAAAAATCACTTTCACTTCACATTTCATTTTTTTCTGGATTGGAACCACTGTCATATTTCTTCCAAATGTATTGATTTTGGACTTAAAATATTTCTCATAATCTAATCAGATCAATTGCCAATGTGAAGCCAAAAAGTCAATAGGCTGAGCTAACAAACAGAAACTGCAAACAAGTAAATGTGTTAGTTTCAGAGTAGTTTCAGTGTAGTTAGTTCCTTCCTGCAGGCAACTGAAGAAGCAGCTTGGATGAGTTGCAAAAGGTATTCGACCAAATAAACTTTTGTCCAAATTGTCCAAACTTCTGACAAACTGAATTTCTTCTTTTGCAATGCCAAAAAGGTTTAAAGCAGACATGTCAAACTCAACTGTCCCGCGGTATAATTATGTTTGGCCCGCGAGATCATATCAAATGTGTATTAGAGCTGCCCGTCAGGCTACAGATATACAGACTGTAGAGACATTATTTACCGTATTTTCCGGGCTAATAGACACGCTCTTAAGCCTCTAACTCCATCAAAAACCGACCGCACGCCCCGCAATCCAGAGCGCCCTATACACGAATCTACTCGGGTATAACAGCACGACTTCAGTAAACTACAAAGCCGCACCACACGCAGAGCACGCAAACACACACGGAGCAGACAGCGACCGCACAGCGACAAACACCCACAGTCACACTCATCACTCCACGCCGACGAGGAACGGAACGAAAAAGCAAGTGCAATGTGCCACTTCTAGACACAACTGAACGACTGAGTCACTGCAAACACGCCAACAATCCGTTGGTCCCAGACAGCACCCTCCCTACACGCCACAACTGAACAAAGCCCAGAGTCACCGTGAACGCACGACAAACAAAGTCCCACTGACCCATCCAACTGTTGTGTTTCATTTAAAGTCCGATGCGGTTTATTTGTGAAAAAAGTTCGAAAATAGACCATTTAATGACAGTGCGTCTTATAATCCAGAGCGCCTAATAGTGCGGAAAATACGTTATTTAAAATGTTGTTATTATTTTATATTCTGCTTGTTCTGGATTCAATGTTTAAGCAAAACTATTATTAAACATTTATTTTAATAAGAAAAGGTTTAGCTTCACATATCTCGAAAGAGAAAACATGCAGATGTTGAAATCTTTCAATAAATGTTTAGTTTGGCCCACGACTTAGTCCCGCTTTTTAATTTTGGCCTCTGTGAATTTGAGTTTGACTCCCCTGGTTTAAACAAACTTGGAAAAAATGTATTTAAACAGACATTTTCAGGAGCCTGTGATCAATATGAGCGTTTATGGTCCGGTTTAGGTGTTTGATTTTCAACAAAAAGGTGACGATGTTATTTGGTCACACTTTTATATAGCACTTTTGCACCTTCAAGGCACTCAAAGCAATTTATAAAAAGGAACCACTCATCTATTCACACACATATTCAAGTGTTTTGCCCAAGGACATGACAACAGCGTCCATCTGTAGGACCTGGAATCGTACCTCCAACCTTCAGATCAGTGAACAAACGCTCTACCAACTGAACTAACTTATTTGAGACTTGGACAAATCATCTCTCCTGTTGTATTTCCAGGTAATTCAGTTCTTTATATCATCATCTTTATTCTGGACTCATGGTCCATTTTAAAAACAGACAAGGACAGTGACATTACAAAACAATAAACATCTATGTTTTTAAAAGACCACCACATCAGTGTCTCCACATACTGGACTGATCTCTTACTGCACTGAATCTTATATTTGTGAGTGACATTATTATTTCATTGTCTGATTTGTTCAGTCTGCAGATAAAACTGTACATTAAAATTCTTAGTGCAGCTTGCAAAGTGGCCACTTGAGCAGTAACAAACATTTCAGTCGCACTCGTCCATCGTGGCCTCCTCAAAAGCTCCGTAAAGCGTCATTGTAGGCACCTGCAGTCTTTGCAAACTGGCTTTTTTATAATGAGTCCAGAGGTGAGCTGTGTACAACGGTGAACAATATGATTTAAACAGTAACAACTTTAGATCATTTGTACAAGAACCAAACTTGCGCATAAGACTATTTGCCTGAGCATAGAGCGTCCTACACTGTCTGTACATATCATCATCATCTGTCATGTCCACAGTGATGATATGCCCAAGATATTTAAGTTTTGTTCTAACAGACAACACAACATTTGACAGGCAAAAGTCAGGAAATAGTCAGAGTGTGCTAAAATAGAGTTGACAAACCTCAGACAGAGCAGTGCTTACGTTTAGCACTTTGATTACATCAGCTGCAAACCATCAACAGCAGTAAAAACGACTCCCTCGGCAAAAACAGTTCATCATAATTAGCACAGGCCTGTTTCCTCAATGCCTCACAATGGTGTTTATTAAAGCGGCTTACAGCACAGAGCTCATTTGTTTGTTACCGAGGCTGAAGTTGCCGTTGAGTTTGAAACATGAATTATACCAGAGGCTTTACTCACACAAAGCCTAATAAGGACAAGTCTGAGTCTGGTACGAGCAACAAAACCTGGACCACAAGAACACTGGAGACAAGACGCTGTGAAAACGCCAAGATTGAATTCAAGAATGCTTCTGTCTGTTTTAGGTTTCACAAAAGTATCGGAAATCAGATCAGAATCAGAAACTAGATACTTATTTGATACTAAAAAAGTTCTCAGGACCAAAATGAGCCTTTCCTGAATAACTTTAGAATAATCTTGAGCTGTGTCAGAACAAATATAAAAGCACGTAGACAAGAATATGCCCCAATATAAAAAGAAAGTAGATTTAATGTTGTTAAAGTGTTGTTTTTTATCAACATTGTGGTATTGGAATCGGTTTGTAGTATGAGGTCTATTCCTAGGAAATATTCTCGGTTTTAAGGGAAATGTAGACACTAAAATCTGACAAAAAAAAAAAAATCACATTTAATTTCTCTTAAAAGTTCTATATTACAGAAAAATGACTCTTGTGACTAGGGCTGGGTATCATTAAGAAGCTGCCGATACGATACATACCTCGATGCAGTGCACTTTTGATCCAATACGATATATTTCCAATTGATTTGATGCGGTTCAATAAAAAATAAACATTAAATCATGGCTATGATACTAAAAGTCTTTGTTAAACCACTTCTTGTGCAAAGTGAATATGAAACACAAACATTTTAATTTAGCCTCCGCTTAATTTCATTTCTCTCCAGCAACTAGGTCAAGAATCATAATACAATAGACGGTTTGTAAAAAAACCCGGAAGTGCGAGAGTGCGAAGAGCCGTACATTCTGTGTTGGTAACGATTCCCGAGATCGAGGATTTAAAGCCGGAACAAAGAGAATGTTTGGTGAATTTTTTATCAAGCAGAAAGACGATATTGCCCTTCTTCCTATGGGATTTGGGAAAAGCTTAATATACCATTACATAAGTCACGACCAAATAGCAGCGATTGGTTAAATGATAAAAAGTACCCGCCTACTGTCGAGCGAACGAATTCTAACACTGCGAGGTCAGACGGTTTCTACAAAGTGAAACCAGTTGATGAATCAGACTAACTTTAATCATCAAAACAGTGAAAATGTCAAATGTGTTGCATAAACAAGTTTCCTTCCTCTAAACAAGCAACAAAACTGTAGCGCTGTAACAAAATAACTGAGTCAAATACACCAAAAAATACTCTTAGCGATATATCGATACAGCAGCCCATGATATCGATACTGTATCATCACATTAAACGATACGATATATATGGATATTTCGATATTTTTGCACACCCCTACTTGTGAGCTTTAAGATGTGTTAGAAAGCTGTTACCTCCTCAAAAACAAACCCGGAGTTGTGTTTTGTTTCATTCACACACGTTGGAGTGATTCACTATTAAAATGAATGAAAACGCTCTGTTCCACCTTGTGATGTCACAAAGCCATTTACGTTTTGTTCAGTCGAAATTGGCAAATCCGGGACTGAAATGATCCAAATGATTCTAGTGAAAGTGTATGGAGTTTAAAAGCGCAATGGAGCACTTCTTGTATTACAACATGACATCACAAGGTGGAACGGAGTGTTTTGTGTTTGAGAGAATAACATAGACTAATAAATATGCAAGATTTGTGAGTTAAACATGCGTGAACGAAACAAAACACAACTCCAGGTCTGTTTTTGATGAGGAAACAACATTATAACAGATCAGAAAAGCGTCTAATATCCGCCCTTTAAATTGCATAGATTAAACTAAACATTACTCATTGTGTTTTATAACAACAAACACACAAGAGGCGGGGCTTAAACAGGAAGTGCACGCTATACCAAATGTTCTGAATTGCTTAATAAGTAAAGAGGAAGTCTGCTGAGTCAACTGTATTGTTCCAGCATAGATTTTAAGAGTTTACACGTTCACAGTTTTACCTTGTTCATAACCCCACGTGCGTCTGCGGCTTCGGCAGTAAAACCAAAACCCGGCAGCTGTCAAAAAATGTGCAGTTATCACCAAAATCGGAGCCAGGACGTAGCGGTCGGAGAGGTAATCCAACATCGTGTTAAAATGAATGGGGGAAAAGTCCAAAAAAGTGGAGATGTGAGGCAACGTTTCAGCAAATCTCTATAAGAATTGAAATATGTTGCTTGGATAATGTTCACAGATGAGCTTTAATCTGTTGTATAGTCCTCTGCTAGTCTGGAAAGTTCTGCAACATTGCTTGAAAATGAGTGGAAAAGTTGAGATGCAAGAGCCAAAGTTACTCAAGTTTTGCCAAATTTTGATCAAAATCCAAATATTTTTGCTTATGTTTCTTGATCCTGTATTGTTTTGCTCCAATCTGAGACTTAACCCAAAATTGTTTAAAAATTTGGACAAAATTTGCAAAAAGTGGTAGAAATTCCAGCAAAAGCTCACCACGTTTCACCAAATCTCTGTCAAAATCCAAATAGTTTTTAGTATTTTTCTTTGTCCTCAATTGCCTTACTCCAGTCTGATAGATTTAGCTCAAAATTGTGTTTAAAATTTGGAGAAAAATTTACAAAATGTCATAGAATTTCCTGCAGAAATTCGCCACGTTTCACCAAATCTCTATCAAAATCCGAATAGTTTCAGTATGTTTCTTGGTCAGTTGTTCTTCTCCAGTCAGATTTAGCCCAAAATTGTGTTAAAAATTTCCAAAAAGTTGTAGAAATTCCAGCAAAACTTCAGCACATTTCACCAAATCTCAATCAAAATCTGCAGAAAGTTTCTTGCTGAGTTGCTTGCTCTGTAGTCCAGTTTTGCTCAGCTCTTCAGTGCTGTGTAGCCGTGTCCATGCCGGTCGGTCTAACCCCGGTCTCTCTCTCTCCCTCTCTCTCTCCCTCTCTCGGATCGGGGCATCTGAATTCCTTTCCGGTGAAGCAGAGGTCCAGACTGTTGCCGTGGCGCTGCCTCTTCAGAACCAGTAAATAAATGAACACGAACTAACGGAAATGTAAGTGCGGCGGTGAGAAGGAAACCACAGGAGTCGCTGCACGCACTTCCTCTACCACACCTGATGAATGTCTCTATGAACTCAATGAGGTTTGTACTCCAAGAATGAGCCTCTTTTTTAAAGTAAAATAACGACTCTACTTTGCACCGGGAGTGTTTTACGTCAGGGAACTCCAACCCCCAGGACCAGGACAGGTACCAGGACTAAACCAGGACTAAACCAGGACTAAACCAGGTCTAAAACAGGTCTAAAACAGGTCTAAAACAGGTCTAAGACAGGTCTAAACCAGGACTAAACCAGGACTAAACCAGGTCTAAACCATGTCTAAACCAGGTCTAAACCAGGTCTAGGTCTAAAACTGGTCTAAAACCAGGTTTAAAACCAGGATAAACCAGGTCTAAAACCAGGACCAAACCAGGTCTAAAACAAGGTCTAAAACCAGGTCTAAAACAGGTCTAAAACCAGGACTAAACCAGGTCTAAACCAGGTCTAAAACCAGGTCTAAAACCAGGTCTAAACCAGGTCTAAACCAGGTCTAAACCATGTCTAAACCATGTCTAAACCAGGTCTAAAACTGGTCTAAAACAGGTTTAAAAGCAGGACTAAACCAGGTCTAAAACCAGGACCAAACCAGGTCTAAAACGGGTCTAAAACATGTCTAAAACCAGAACTAAAACCAAGACTAAAACCAGGACTAAATCAGGAGCTGGTCCGTGAAATATTGTCAGATATAGAACCGGTCTGTGGCGTCAAAAATGTTGGGGACCACTGTTCTGCACTCAGCACTAATGGGAGTCTGTATAGTCACATTTTCATTGTGTTTTTGTGTTTTAAGATGATTTTCTGTATTTTACCTAAACAAATACATGAGTTTATGCCTCTTTTTACTGTCAGCAGGGATCAGATTGGTCAAATATACAGACACCTGGGATATTTCTTGTATAAAACTGGGACAAATCAATAGTTTTGGATAAATCTGCTGGGCTCAAAATGGGGACTGTCCCGTAAATTGGGACGCCGACTCAATTTGCAGAATGTTTAGAAGTTACCATGGTGACACAAAGCACAAGTTAGTAAACACATCTACAAAAAAAAATTAAGATAATGTGAAAACTCAAGAAAAAAACAAAACAAAATTGATTTAACCAAAACATTTCCAGGAGCCTGTGTAATGTTATGTGAGAGGGAAGATATCCAGGTCCTGCTAAATCATCTCCTTCTGGTCAAATTGTGTAAAATAAAGCTCAGATTGAAGTCTAACTTGAGTATCACAGCCTGCCTAAGTGCTTAGAGTTAGCGTCATACCCCCAGGGAATGTTGACGCCATCAGCTGCAAAATATCAACCAGGTCTCAACCAGGACTAAACCAGGTCTAAAACCAGGTCTAAACCAGGTCTAAAACCAGGACTAAAAGAGGTCTAAAACCAAGTCTAAAACCAGGACTAAAAGAGGTCTAAAACCAGGACTAAAAGAGGTCTAAAACCAGGTCTAAACCAGGTCAAAAACTGGGACTAAACCAGGTCTAAACCAGGTCTAAACCAGGTCTAAAACCAGGTCTAAAACCAGGTCTAAAACCAGGTCTAAACAGGTCTAAAACCAGGTCTAAAACCACGAATAAACCAGGACGAAAACAGGACTAAAACAGGTCTAAAACCAAGTCTAAAACCACGAATAAACCAGGTCTAAACCAGGACTAAAACAGGTCTAAAACAGGTCTAAACCAGGTCTAAACCAGGTCCAAAATAGGTCTAAAACCAGGACTAAACCAGGATTAAAACAGGTCTAAAACAGGTCTAAAACCAGGTCTAAAACCAGGACCTCCTGCTAAATCATCTCTTTCGGGTCAAATTGTGTAAAATAAAGCTCAGATTAAAGTCTAACTTGAGTAACAAAGCTTCAAGCAGAACAGTGTTTACAGTCAGCATCACACTCCCAGGGAATGTTGACACCATCAGCTGCAAAATATCAACTTATACATTTTGCAAGTGCCCAAAAAACAAGATTAGGTTTATAGAGGTTGGTATCCCGGAAGTTGTAGACCGCACACCGACCAATCAGCAAAGAGCCTGTCTGGGTCCCTTTTGTGGAACAGCACAACAGTAAACAAAGCGTCGAGATGGATGTAGATGAAGACAGACATTCTGTGTTGGCAACGATTCCCGAGATCGAGGATTTAAAGCCGGAACAAAGAGAATGTTTGGTGAATTTTATCAAGGGGAAAGACGTTATTGTCCTTCTTCTTACAGGATTTGGCGCATTACATACGTCACGACCAAATAGCAGCGATTGGTTACATAAAAAAGTACCTGCCTACCGACAAGCGAACGAATCCTAATGCTCTGAGGTCAGACAGTTTCCACCAAATGAAATTAATCTAAGCCTGCTCATCTCCATGGTGATGTTACTCCTTCACCTGGAATATTCCACAACAGAGCATTAAAAATATCCATCTTGCGTTTAATAATAATTTACATATCTTTTTTATTGCTGAAAACATGGATTTTTACATTGAGCGGGATTGTCTCTCCACAGATCTGACCTGTAACTTGGCCTGGTAGTGTCTTCTGCATGTGTCCGTGAAGAATTAGAAAAGTTTAAGGTGGGCTCTTCTAGAAAAGTTACACAGTGCATCTTTAAAATAGCTGCAAAAAGAGGATTTGAAATGATAAAAACCTGCATCAAAGTCACATTTTAAGCACAATTCCAGTTTATTTTTTCCTATATCCCACCCGGAATATTCAAGAAGTCAACTGATATTTTGCACCTGATCAACAACATTTCCTGGTGGTGTGACGCTAACTGTACGCACTGCTCTGTCTCACGATCTGTTACTCAAATCAGACTTTCATCTGAGTTTCGTTTTACCACAATTGGCCCAGAAAAGAACTGACAACAGATGAGCCGATTTGAAACGTCTCACACGCAATTTTGCATTTTTCACTTGCGTTATGAGACAATCTTGAAACTTTCTGTCAGTGTTTATTAATGTGTGCATCGCGTCACCATGGTAACTTCTACATTCCACCGTAGACGTACATGTAGAACACCTCCCAGCATGATGTCAAGGCAAAATATCGATACAAAGGACCTATTCATCTGCTTGACATGTCGGCTGTTGCTGGGGGGTGACGCGTCTTCTGATTGGAGCCTGGGTGATGCAGCAGAGTCCAGCAGTGACTCAGGTCTGACTAAAGTTACCGTCACCTCTCCCGAAATCTCCCCGATGTGAATGTGGGCGGGTGAGAGCGGGCGAGACAGGAGGGGGGGCAGAAATCAGCTGCTGTTTTTGTCTTAGCAACCGCCACATAAACAGTACACAAACTAATATCAGAGAGACCGAGCAATCATCAGAGCCAGAGTGCAATATTCAAGTGTTAAAGTGCAAGTAAAATTGGGTTAAAGATGCACTGTGTAGCTTTTCTGGTGGAGGGTAATGCTGTTTTATTACTTATTTTTCTTTTTTATTTTGACATGTACATATACATTTATATATTGTGCCTCTTGCCATCTTCTTTTCTGCTACTTATTTAGAATTTATTATTACTCAGAGTGTCATGGTCAGTGTGTGGGGGCCTTAGGCGAACTTGGGTTTCGGGCCCTCACTATAATGCAAATTTAGTTTGTTTTTAATTTTTGTTTTGTTTTTTTCCCCATTGTTCTTGAGACTGGAAGTAGTTTTTATTTTTTTGCTAGTACAATTACATTTTTGTTTACATCCGTTGGTGGTTGATGGTAGCGCTGTTTCTGGTAACGGTACATGTTTTCGTGCCGAATTGTTTCGTTTTTTTGGCCAAAAATATAAAGACTGAGTAAAACTTCATGCTGGAACTGTTAATGCTGTGCTTTACTTTATAATATTTCATACATTTATTGCTTATTGCTGAATATTTACTTAGTTTAATAGTACCAAGCAGCACTTTGCATTTATTTTATTTTCCCATTTGTATAATGTTAAAACAAACTGCTGGTTTAATAAAAACACAAATAAACAACAAGCAAGTGGTTTTGCATTTTGTTCCCAAACTGTACCAAAAATGATCCAAACCATGACCTCAAAACTGAGGTGCATACCAAACCGTGCTTTTTGTGTACAGTTACACCCCTAATTATCACCATTTATTTTTTCACTTTTTTATTATTTTATATTGTGATGTGTGAGCGAATGTGTCCAAATAATTTCCCTCGTGGATCAATAAAGTTTGTCTAAGCCTAAGTTTAATGTTATTGCTTTGTCTCTAGCTTTGATACTTTGCAGTGACATCATGCTGGGGGAGTTCTACATGTATGTCTATGGCAAAAATGGTCAGCAGAACCATGGTCACACAATGCACACATTTGCAAACATTGCCTGAGTTTTTAGACAGTCTGAAAACTCAACAAAAAAATACAAAATGGATTAAAACAACACGTTTTTGTGATCAATCCGAGTTTTCGTGGTCGTGTTTAGGAGTTTGATTTTCAGCAAAAAGGTGAAAGTGACAAACTGAAAAACTGCTGGCTAAAATGTTTCACAGCAAACAACAAATGAACTCACCTGTTGTAGTTCCAAGAAAGTGAGTCATTTCAGGTCAGATTGTGTTAAAACAAGGCTTGAATTTATTTCTAACAGAGCTTCAGACAGAGAGTGCTTCCAGCTAGCGCCACATCTTTCATTTATTACAGACGTGTTTATTGCAAAAAGGAAAAAAAAGAAAGTTGGCTCAGAGGTGTTTCCCAGATTTGTTTGCAGTAAACACTCAATCTCCAAGACACAAATCTCCAGCAAAACAAGCCAAAGGATCCAAGAGTCTCACAGAAGAATAAATCTATTTACTGGAAACTTGGAGCTGAGATGTACTGGATTACAATATAATTACTACAAATATTACTGCTATTACTGCAGTACTGTTATTATTACAAGTTTTACAGGAACTACTGCTAGTGCTACTGCTGCTGCCACTACTGCTACTACTACAACTACTACTACTATTGCTACAGTACTACTAGCTACTACTACTACTACTACTACTACTACAGCTACTACTACTACTACTACTACTACTACTACTACTACTACTACTAGCTACTACTGCGACTACTACTACTACTACTACTGCTGCGACTACGACTACTACTACTACAGCGAATACTACTACAGCAACTACTACTACTACAGCGACAACAGCTACTACTACTACTACTACTACTACTGCTGGGACTACGACTACTACTACTACAGCAACTACTACTACTACAGCGACTACAGCTACTACTACTACTACTCTACTACTGCGACTACATCTACTACTACTACTACAGTGACTACTACTGCTGCTGCTCCTGCTGCTTCTACTACTGATACTCCAACTACTACTGCTGCTACTACAACTACTACTACTGCTACTACTACTACTACTATTACTGCTACTACAACTACAACTACTTCTGCTGCTACTACAACTATTACTGCTGCTACTACTACTATTACTGCTACTACTACTATTACTGCTACTACTACTACAACTACTTCTGCTGCTACTACTACTATTACTGCTACTACTACTACAACTACTGCTGCTGCTACTACTACTATTACTACTACTACTACTACTGCAGAAATTTCATTTTTTATTAAGTAGCTCTTGCTCCTAATACTACACTTGGGACCAACAACCAACACTACACTTGTCTGGACCAAGAACATAAAAGTAAAAAGTATCTCCAAAGAACCATTTGCTTTATAGTTGGATAACCGCACCATAAAATAAGTAAACAAACAGACACGTGTGGAGGAGGATGTGGTGAGAGACGAGCTCGAGCCTCAGAGCTGCGGTGGTGATGTGACACGTGTCCACCGGGGGGCAGCGCAGGGCCACGCTTCTCACTGTAAACCTCCTGTACTTGTGATTCTTTAGATTTCAGTCAACTGCGCCGAGCCTCAGACCACAGCTTCTACACAGCGGTCTGTCACATTCACATTACACGCTCACCGCAAACAACATATTACAACTCAACTGTGTCACTGTTACCATCAGAAGTACCTGTTTTTATGTGGTTGCTCACTGTTATTTTCTATTTAAAGAGTGTATATTTTACTTCTCTGGGGTATTAACTTCTAAAACATCACATATTTAGATCATCATGTTACTTTTTATTGTTTTGAAAATGCTATATTCACTAAAAACAATCTATTAATGAGTAGTTTTATGAGTTTTGCTTTCGTTTTCGCAGCTGAGTCTCCATCCCTTCGCTCCACGTGTTAAGTTAAGCGCTATCACAACACAATCTTTAAGTATTTCTGTCAAATACTTCAACATTTCCTTTACATTTTCATCTACTATCAGATAAAAAAGAAAACAGGCACCATCATGTCACAAGGGGTATAAAAACTACATCTTCAGCACAGCAAATACACAATTAAATATTTAGAATTGGACATTAGACAACTGTATTTTGTATTTTTTGCAATAAATGATAGTTTTCATCAGTATGGTCCTCCTGGGTTACTTTAGATCCTAATATTTGCTCCTGTTACATCTGTCATAACAAATTTCGAAGCACAATATATTGCTACACAGAAATATTGTGATAAATGATAATACTGAAACTACTTTATGCCACTGACAACAAGCAAAATAAAGTAAACTGATTTTTTATTGTATATTATCAGTAAAAGGCCTGAGCTGCAACAAATTAATCTCAGAATGAAGAAATAATTAGTCAAAGAAGTATTTATTCAACGCTCTTTCACCCACTTTTGTCTTTAAACGCTCTTAAACCGCACTTTTTAGAAGCACTTCAAGATAAAAAATTTATTCTGTTCATGTCAGTGGAGAATTTGGGAAACGTTTTGCATCTTAAATGTGACATAAAGTTGGTTTATTTGTGTAAAATGCAGAATTTTCATGTGCAAAAGAAGAAAGAGATCCGCATTGCAGTTCTCTGAAGCTCCCAAATTTTTATTTCAAAGGCACCATAATATTTTTGTGTTTGGACCCAGAACACAGTCGCAGTTTTTGTTGGATGTGCATGTCTCTATCTAGTAATACAATGTTTATGTGCACCAACAAGTCACACTGCACCGACTCTCTGGAGGCTTTAAAACAGCTTTATCGTCCACAGCAACTCCTAGAATAAGGTGGACAGCTCAAATCTTACATTATTACAAACAAAATGTCAAAGATCTCGCCATTATTGTTAAGAAACTGTACCCAAGATAAATACTGAGCCTGAAAATATACTGATCCAGCTTTCATTTACTGAACAATAAGTTGACAGGCCTCGCTCCTGATATATGATAACACGCTTTTTGAGGTTGTGGTGAATTCATTTCCTGTGATGATGACTGCAGCTGCCAGCCACAGTGAAGAATCTATACCGCGGGTCAGGTCTCAGAATGCTGATGTGGGACAAATCAGACACAAAGACGAGACCGTGTGCGCGATCAGACCGGGTGATGTCAGACTATGAGATCAGCACGAATCAAAATACTACAAAACCATTTATATTTGGTAAAGCTGCAAGATTAATCTCAATTGAATCAAAATTGCAATATGAATGGACGCAATTAGCAAACCGTAAAGGCTGAAATTATTATAAAGTATTATAATTTCATCCACTTGAAGCAGGGACTCTCCACCCACCTCGAGAGGGCAAGCCACCTTTTTTCGGTCGAGAATCATGGTCTCGGATTTGGAGGAGCTGATCTTTATCCCAGCCGCTTCACACTCGGCTGCAAACTGCCCCAGAGCATGTTGTAGGTCCTGATTTGATGAAGCCGTGAGGACAACATCATCTGCAAACAGCACCGTATTTATGGATATTCTGTCCATAAATACAATGAACAGAACCGGTGACAAAGGGCAGCCCTGGCGGAGTCCAACATGCACCAGGAACAGGTCTGACTTACTGCTGTATGGAGTAAGAAAGCTGTCAAAAATATTTGTGCGCGTAAAATAGAAATCCGTGCGTATTTGGGAAATCCGTGCATATTTGGCTGTTGTTGCACATAAAATAAATATTTGTAAACTCTCAAATGACTCCAGTCGTACATAAAATATAATGTGTGTATTTTATCCATCAGAATACGAATTGAAAAATTACGACGTCATGAATTACAATCACGAAATGAAAATTTACGATTACACTTTCATCAGTACGAATACGAATTCACTGACGGAACTTTACTGTCAAAAATACGTCATCACTTCACAGACATTATCCATCGAGCAGAAGAAACATCGATCAAGATCAAGACTGCGTAGCTCAAGTTTGTAGCAGAGGGTAAAAACAGAGTAAAAGCACAAGGAGCTACAACAGCGACCAACAAGTGGGTTAATTAAAATCTATTGTAAAAATGTCTTGAATTCGGGAACCGAACGCTGCTGTGTAATATTGTGTAGAAACACCTCCTTTGAACGGGAAATTGCACCTATATGTTAGATAACATAGTGGAGCCAGTTGGCCAACATAAGACGTAACGTTATCCCAGGGCTAATTAACAAATATCGGCGTTCTCTGTATGTTTAGATTAAAACATTCACGGCTACTACGTGATTGTAATTCATGACGTCGTAATTTTTCAATTCTTATTCTGATGGATAAAATACACACAATATATTTTATGTACGACTGGAGTCATTTGAGAGTTTACAAATATTTATTTTATGCGCAACTACAGCCAAATATGCACGGATTTCTATTTTACGCGCACAATATTTTTGACAGCTTTCTTACTCCATACTGCCGGCATTGCGAACACAGCTCCTGCTCCGGTCGTACCAGACAGTCCTTAGCAAAAGAACCTGAACCCCATATCCCAGAGCACCCCCTACAGGACACCATGAAGGAGGCCAGGGAAGGCTTTTGGGTCCCCCTGGAGGAGTTGCAGGAAGTATCCAGGGTGAAGGAAGTCTGGGAGTCCCTGCTTGGACTCCTGCCCCCGCGACCCTGCCCCAGATAATTGGAAGAAAATGGATGGATGAAAATATCGCGTCCTATTCTGCATACAAATTGCTAACCCTATAGTTTAGATTTGTATAAACTAGGGACAGGCATTCAATGAAATTTTATTAATCGATCGTCAGGAGAATTAATGATTGATTTTCGATTAATCATTAACGTTTTTATAAAAGTATCACCATCATTATTACTATTACTAATCTGCATAAATAAACTCAACTTTACAACATATAAACCAGAACCACTGTAGAGCCACATCAGCCATGTTGTGCGCTGATGCGATTCAGCTTCTGTCGGACTAAAGGACACGGCTCAGTGGAATATGAGTCTTCTTTCTGTGACAGAGAGGATGTTGATGCTGATGGTGAGTCTGTTCTGTGCGTGTGTCGCAATGTTTTCAAAGACAGGATGTGTGCAGGTTTAGTGCGGCTCTTTATGTTGCAGTAACCAGGACACTGATGTGCATGTAAACACACTGACTGAGTGGTACAGTGTCTCCAAGGAGGTGCCGTAGCCCAAACGTGGGACTGAAGTCGCAACTCCAGTGTTTGCGCCGTCAGATGCAGCTTTGTATCTACGCACAGAAACCTACATCGGGTTTGTCGATTAGGAATGAACGTAAT